TTCTTAATTTTCCTAAAATAATGTGAAATTACTTGTAACAATTACAAATGTTTACAATTTCTTTAATTTACAAAAATTTTATAAAAATATAAATCAAAAGAAACAAAAATATTCACAAACAAAATATCAATTTCTGTTCTATTAAAACTGTGAGATAAATTGCGTTGGCACTTTACGATGAAGGTGTTTATTTCGCACAGGAAGCAAGGTGACTTATTGTGTTTGCGTGGGCTAAAATCCACGTGAATCACGCACTAAATCAACGCAGAATACGAAAACTCTCCGACTCCCGACTCGACAAACTGAACTTACTCTAATGGGGCAAACAATTCCGTTTTCGAGATTGCAAAGTTAAATTGCGTTCTGCGACGATTCTTATTATATAAACATGTAATTCTTACGAAATGAAAAGTGTAATTTGTACACGTTATAATTGTTAGTTAGTACGTTATATCTTGATTAATAATTAAACTACACAGAAAATTGTTGTCTATAATTAAAGTAATTAAATTCTCATTTAATTCAGATCTTATTTTAACTTAAGTAAAGAAAACTCAAAGAAATTGTTATGTATGTAGAAATTTGAATTGTAAATTTTATCCAGATTTGTATGTATAAATTAAGTCTTGGAACTATAAAATTCGCTTCATAATTCGAGTAGAAAAGTATGAGAAATGTGAAGAGAATCGATTAGTTTCTATATTTAGGAACAAAAATAAGTTGACACGTTTGAGCGAATGACTGGAAACGAGCACACGAATGCAGCAATTGATTACTTGTATTCCAATTAGCTGCGTTTTGTTCTTTTGCACACGAGTCACAATTGCAACGTTAATTAGTTTCCTCATCTCCGCTTGTTAAAATTCTTCATCCATTGTTGCATATATTTATTTATTTTTTTTTGTGTGATGTGAACAAAATCCTCCCCTTCTTCGTATCGAACTCAAACAGAAAGCGGAAAAGGCGTCAATCGCAGTTTTAAAGCCGCAACGGAATTGCGAGAGGGAAGGTTGTGTTTGCACAAACTTTGCACATCTAATGGAAGCCCTTATTTTCAGGTCAAAGATGATGGCGCGGGATCAGATGGTGATATAAACCGTCCTTTCTTTTTATCCGTCTTTGGTTTTCCATTTGGAGAAAGATGGAGGAGTGGAACGAAACATTCCTGAATGAGACTTACAACTTCACGGATTGCAGCCTGAGGTCTGGTCCGTTGAAGTCGCCCTATTTCCTGGGTGTTACTTATACGATGTATAGCATCGTTTTTGCTATATCGCTCTTTGGAAATGGTATGATCTGCTACATCGTCATCTCTTCGCCGAGGATGAGGACGGTTACGAATTTCTTCATCATGAATTTGGCTATTGGAGATATACTGATCACTATACTTTGCATACCGTTCACGACTATATCGTATTTGCTGCAGTACTGGCCCTTCAGCTTCTTCCTCTGCCCGTTCGTGAATTACTCGCAGGGAGTCTCGGTGTTTGTGAGCGCCTACACTTTGGTGGCTATCAGCATCGATCGATACATCGCAATCATGTGGCCTCTAAGACCTAGACTTTCCAAGAAGTCTTCGGCTATTATCATCGCCATCGTATGGTTTGTGGCAACGTTCACCGTGATACCTTCAGCCATTACCAGTAAAGTGGACCAACCGGACGCCTGGTTCGAACAATGCGATTTGTAAGTATTCTTTAATACATATTTATTGCTCAACTTATTACAAGTAATTACTTAATAAATTAAATTACTAAATAGGATCATTATAAAGATACGAGTTTTATCATTAATTTAAAGATTTAATGATTAAATTAGCTAACGTAATTATTGATAAAATAATTAAAACGTGAAAGAGTAAAATCAATATATCTCAGTTATTAATTAATATAATTTAATATTAATTATATCGAAATTTGCACAAAAGAAAATGAGATTAGTTGTACTATTAAAATGCATATATTTTTTCGAATTATTTCGTTTTGAAAAAATCTAAATAATTACAAAAAAATCACTAAATCTACAATTAATTAATATTACTTATAAGTTTCCGTATAAATCGTATAAAGTAACACTAATTTTTCTTTTTTTTATAAATTCTATTTATTAAACGTTAAGGGTAGATTTTTCAATTTTACTAATATACTCATATATTTTTTCGAATTATTTCGTTTTGAAAAAATCTAAAAAAATCTAAATAATTGCAAAAAATCACTAAATCTACAATTAATTAATATTACTTATAAGTTTCCGTATAAATTGTATAAAGTAACACTAATTTTTCTTTTCTTTGTAAATTCTTTTTATTAAACGTTAAGGGTAGATTTTACAATTTTACTAATATACTCATATATTTTTTCGAATTATTTCGTTTAGAAAAAATCTAAAAAAAATCTAAATAATTACAAAAAATCACTAAATCTACAATTAATTAATATTACTTATAAGTTTCCGTATAAATCGTATAAAGTAACACTATTTTTTCTTTTCTTTATAAATTCTTTTTATTAAACGTTATGGGTAGATTTTAAAATTTTACTAATATACTCATTAATTTTTTCGAATTATTTCGTTTTGAAAAAATCTAAATAATTACAAAAAATCACTAAGTCTACAATTAATTAATATTACTTATAAGTTTCCGTATAAATTGTATAAAGTAACACTATTTT